CACTCGCTCCTCTCCTTTTGGCTCTGCAAACACGATGCCAGTCCCTTCAATGATTTCATGCATGTGTCAGGTTTTTTCTTTTATTAATGAATCGGTAATGTGTGTGGGTTTAGCTTTCACGCGAGACCTGCAGACTGCCAAGCCAGCTCCCGTCGGCTGATTCAGTTGCACGCTCATTCATAAAAAGTGCATGGCAGCGTGTGTGCAGACACATGAGTCACCCCATACCTAGAAAAGCAAAGCGTGGAGAGCGGTTCTGCATTTTAGTGAAGGCATCTGGCGAGGAAATCTTATTTACTCAATTCATGTGTCGCTTGCCACCCATTAGTCGCTCGCCACGCAAAGAGTCTCCAAGAAACTTAATAACGTAAGAGTAGCATGCAGGATCGTGGGTGGCGCTGTGGGTTAAACCACAGAGCCTAGGGCTTGCCGATCAGAAAGTCGGCGGTTCGAATCCCCGCGACAGGGTGAGCTCCCCTTGCTCTGTCCCTGCTCCTGCCAACCTAGCAGTCTGAAAGCACATCAGAGTGCAAGTAGATAAATAGGTACCGCTCCGGCGGTTAAATGGCATTTCCGTGCACTGCTCTGGTTCACTCGGAGCGGCTTAGTAATGCTGGCCACATGACCCAGAAGCTGTATGCCGGCTCCCTCGGCCAATAAAGCAAGATGAGCGCCGCAACCCCAGAGTCATCCACGACTGGACCTAATGGTCAGGGGTCCCTTTACCTTTACCTAGCATGCAGGATCAGGCCAGTAGTCCATCTAAGGCCAGCATCCTGCTCTCACAGTGGCCAACCAGATGGCTCTGGGAAGCCTGACAGTGGGACCTGAGAACAGCCCTCTCCCCGCCGCCACCCCCAACCCCCACCCCATGGCTTCTAGCAACTGGTCTTCAGAAGCACACAGCCTCCGACTTACAAAAATTTAAGTGCATTGAGAATAACATAAAATAAAAAGAACAGCGCATCACAATAAAAGCCATACAATAACCCATAAAATGGACACAGTAAATGCTGGGCATGCTTTATGGAACAGGGGGCAGAGAGAGGCATATCCAGACCTATTAATTACATGTGCTTCCTTCAACTACGGAGAGCCCAAATCTATGAAGAAATCTGTGCCATCTCTCAACCTGCCCCACCCACTGTGGATCTCTGAATCTTGCTTTCTGACCCAGCATTCCATCAGCCATAGCTGCTGCAGAAAGAAGAGGGAGACTACCTTCCCACATTATCCTGATAAGGAGCCGAGGGAAAGAGAGATCCATAGGGAGCCGAGCCCAAAAGAGAGAACAAGAAACCCCAAAAGTTAGGTGGCCGCGGCAGGCTTAATTCACCATTACGTGACAAGGTACTGCAAAAGGAGGCTCTGCAACACCTTGCCTGTTACGTGCCAAAATGCACTGAGAGAACAGGGTTGAGTTGAGGACACGGCAGCGGTTTCAACAGCACCCCCGTATTTAGTATGCTCGGTGCAGGTTCTAGCATTGATCAAACAATGAGAGGCTAAGACAGGGCAAGATTCCTCCGTCCTCGTCCTCCCCCACCTTCCAAAACCCATTATCATACAGAAGAGCCGGTGCAGATTGCTTGCATACAAATCTGAAGCATCTTCCGGGCTCCAGAACATGGTGACAGCCTAAAACAAACACCGGGAGCTGCGCTTTAGCTTTCCTTTAAAAAGGAAAGGAAGAAAAGAAGGACATCTGCGGTTAGCAGGTGGCTTTTTGCTCGAGGTTCATCGGCAAAGCAACTCTGCCATCTTGTGGCGCATATGCGCATTCTTGCTCGTAAAGGCGCAGTGAGAGGGAAGAGGCCGAAAGCAAGCCTGTTTAAACAAGGCAAGGAAGGCCTCTGCAACTTGCTTTTCTGTTTTTTAAAATTATTATTATTAAAGATTTTCTTGATTTACAAAAGTGTGTGCAATGTCTCTCTCTTGTATTTTTTTCCCCATGTAACATTTTTACTTGTGAGCTGCCAAGCTGAATGCAACTCCCCTGTTTGCTAAGCCCAGGTGGGTTTGCAAAAACAGTGCATTTTCATGACCCTCTGATGAGATGCTAAATCTATATAGCTAATGGGCTGGATTTGGCTTGCAAGTCTGGGATAATCTGACGATTTGGGGGACAGAGCCAATTTGCTCCAGTTAGAGCATTTGCAATTTCTAACTAAAGTTTTATGAAATTGTCAGGGCAGGTGGCATTGCATTTTCCAGAAAACCACCCTTAAGAGACCAAGATTGTGGTCCATCTTAGTAGCACAACTTTACCTTTACACCTGAACTGAGAATGGCTTTATATACTCAAATTCAGGAAAGGCTTTTGCAGCTTCTCAGTCCATTCATTACATGAACTATTAAGCATTATAATATACAATCAAAGCATCTTAATTAAAAATCTGTATCAGCCACAATTGCTACCCATGTGAATCAATTCAGTTCAATCAATAATGTTTGTTTTTTGAAAAATACAAAATAAAAACACACAGAGAGTTTTCTCAGCAAATACTACCACCATCCAAATCACATAAAACTGAGTACCCATTTAACAGCAGTACATGATATTTTCTATATAGCTATTTACTGGGGGTACTCATATGTATGCAGTACCAATAAACCCCCCCAATGTTAAAGTGTGGCAATACTATAACAACTTATTGGTGAGTACTGGCACCTTTACTATTTACAGTGGTACCTCGGGTTACATACACTTCAGGTTACGCTTCAGGTTACATACTCCGCTAACCCAGAAATAGTGCTTCAGGTTAAGAACTTTGCTTCAGGATGAGAATAGAAATCATGCTCTGGCGGCAGCGGGAGGCCCCATTAGCTAAAGTGGTGCTTCATGTTAAGAACAGTTTCAGGTTAAGTACGGACCTCCGGAACAAATTAAGTACTTAACCTGAGGTACCACTGTATTTATTTTTATAATCATTGGTTGTATACAAATACAGAGACAAAATACGCAACAAAAGTTGAAGGACGAAAGATTGTAAACAATCCAGAAAACAATTAAGTGCAACAATACCTTTTATAAGTGTGTTATCATTTAAATGCTGGGAGAAGGCTTTGAAGAAACAGATTCAATGGAAAGAAGGGAACAGATTGTTTATTGCTTGGCTGATATTTTCCTAGACAACTTGCTTCCCCCCTCCCTTTTAGTAGAAAGAATGCAACAAGTTGGTTAATGCAGGCACCGTTTTAATTAATATTACTGAACAGATCTTGCTGTCTGAATTCCTACTGCATAAATGTTCCTCAAGGAGCAAATGAAAAATGGGTGTTCATTTACAGAATTAAGGATGCACAGAGTACAGCATGGCCAATGAGCATGAATGATGGGAACTGGAAGATGCTACAGGGGCTACCTGTGAACTAATATCTTGGGTACTCAAATGAGAATCTGCACTGCTTCAATACTGGGTTAAACAGACCAGTGGTCTAACTCAGTATCCCATGGATCCAAAACTCTACCATGACTCAATACTCCAGAAATTCACGTACCATAAACATTTACCATCATATATATTATATACCCCAGACTTTCTCAGCCTGTGGCTTCTCTAGATAATAATAATTAATAATTTTATTTTATTTTTATACCCCGCCCTTCCCAGTTAAGAAAACCGGGCTCAGGGCGGTTAACAACAAATTTAAAACACTTAATTGTAATACAACATAGAAGCAACATAGAAGCAACATAAAATACAGTATAAAAACATGAATAACAATAAAATTCAAAGTTCAAAAATCAATTTGGGGGAAATCCATCCAATAAGCATTAGATAGTCACCATGGCTAGCTGGCTGAATTAGTCCTACTTGGGCCAGCAAGGAGGCCAGGGGAGAATTAGCTGTGGGGTCTCAGAGCAGGTAATCTTCATAAAAGGGGAGGGGGAGGGAAGAGAAGGGAAATAAAAGATCAGGCTGAATTTAAATTAAAGGCCAGGTGGAATAGCTCTGTCTTACAGGCCCAACGGAAGGAGGTTAAATCCTGAAGGGCCCTAGTCTCACGGACTACAACTCCCAGCATCCCCAGGCAGCGTGGCCAATGGCCCAGGGATGATGGGCATTGGAGTCCAACGTCTTCTGAAGGTTGTTGGGTAGAAGGAGGCTGTTAATACACAATTTTATACAAGTTCAAGGAATGCTGCCCCCCCCCCCATTTTTTTTCACTTTCTTTGAATGTTGGGGATTAATGTCATACATCTTGTTTACTTATGTGCACATTTTAGAATATTGATTCTCATCAACAACAAGCCATGTTTCACACAGGTGCGACCAGAAAAAAAGGCAGCAAAGCAAAAGAAAGAGAAGATATGAATTTCAAAAAAAAAAAAATGAAACCCAAGTTAAGTGTTAAAAATGCTGTTGGGCCCCCGCTTCATAACACCGCTAAAATTGAAAGGTTCTGCACTTAGGCAGGAACAACCAACTGCACATATATGAGATAGGGGAAGCCTGGCTTACTAGCAGTAAATGTGAAAAGGATCAAGGGGTCTTGGTGGACCACAAGCTGAACATGAGTCAACAGTGTGATGCAGCAGCAGCAAAAAAGAAAAAGCTAATGCTATTCTAAGCTGCATCAACAGAAGTACAGTGTCTAGATCAAGGGAAGTAATACAGTGGTACCTCTGGATGCGAACAGGATCCACTCCGGAGCCCTGTTCGCATCCTGACGCAAACGTAAGATGCGACTGTGCGTCTGCGCGTGCGTCGTGTTTCACCACTTCAGCACATGCGTGTGACATCATTTTGAGCGTCTGCACATGTGCGAGTGGCGAAACCCGGAAGTAACACGCTCCGTTACATCCGGGTCGCCGTGGAGCGCAACCCGAAAATATTTAAGCTGAAGCGTATTCATCCCGAGGTATGACTGGACACAGCTGGAATACTGTGTCCAATTCTGGGCACCACAATTTAAGGATATTGACAAATTGGAATGTGTGCAGAGGAGGGCAACCAAGATGGTCAAGGGTCGGGAAACCAAGCTTCATGGGGAATGGTTGAAGGAGCTGGGTATGTTTAGTCTGGAAAAGACGAGACTGAGAGGAGATATGATAGCTGTCTCCAAATATCTTAAGTGCTGTCACATGGAGGATGCAGTAAGCCTGTTTTCTCTTGCTCTGGAGGGCAAGACTCAAACCAATGGCTTCAAATTACAAGAAAGAAGATTCCGACAAAACATCAGGAAGAACTTTTTAAAGGTAAGAGCTGTTCTGACAGTGAAAAGGACTCCCTCAGAATGTGGTGGACTCTCCTTCCTTTGGAGGTTTTTAAACAGAGGTTGAATGGCCATCTGCCAAGGATGCTTTAGCTTTGACTCCTGCATTGCAGGGGGTTGGACTAGATGACCCCCAGGGTACCTTCCAACACTATGATTCTAAGAAATCTCAGAGTGAAGAGGCATGACTCAGTGGATCTGCTTTGCATGCAAAAGGATCCCTATGTTCAATTTCTGGGTAAGTAACCAAACAATTAAACCCCTGTGTTGCAAACAATTATCAGTAATATCCCAGGCAACCCGATGACCAAGTACAACAATGCAGTATCAATATAAACTCTTTATATAATCTATACGGAACATTGAACAATATGAAAACCCAAATAAACAGAAATCTTATAAATCTCTAAAGTCACAAAATGTGCACTCTTGATGGATTCTCTTGAAAACATAGAATCTGAGTTATTGTAAGTTACCATGTATATGCAGGTCATGGTTTCAATAATTCATTTGCAGTTTATGAAGCATTTTTGCATCCTTCTGCTGTGCTGAAGAAAAATTCTACGAAACAGTGGGTAGATCTGGAATCGCTGTTCACTACGTCTGTTTGCAGACCTCTTCGGCAGCCTTGGACGTCATAAAACAAAGCTTTACGGCTTGTTTACATCAGATAAGAATCCGACCCATTGCTTCTTTCAGAGACTTGCATAGTCTACAAAGACTTTCAGAGACTTATAAGACTTATGTTTATTTGGTTCTATGTTTTCAAGAGAATCCATCAAGAGAGCACATTTTGTGACTTTAGAGATTTATAAGATTTCTGTTTATTTGGTTCTTCATATTGTTCAATTTCTGGGTAAGGCTGGGGAATACCCCGTCCGAAAACCCTGGGCTGCCTTGGTGCCAGTCAGTGCAGACAATACAGAAGCAAATGGACCAATACGCTAACTCGGTATTAAGCAGCTTCTTATGTACCACAGAATTCTAAGCATACCATTTCCTCAATTCCATACACAGGCCTGCGTATTAAATACAAGGCCTGTGATTAAAACCAAAATATCTTTTACTAATACTGCTCAGATCCACATACACACCCCTCACCAGTCCAGTCCAGTTTTCCCAGTTCCGTTATCAAAAGCTGAATAATGCTGTTTTCATCCTTAGGCATCGCAACTTCTGCCACCCACCCTCTCTCTCTCTCCCTCTCTCTCTCTCTATCTCATGAAAGTTTTACACAGGAGCCCAGCTTCATAAATAGTTCACACTGTGCAAGTCCATTATTCCACTACAGGGCGTAGGTTTTTGCATTGCACTCAGGCACACATGCAAAAGGTGGATACGCACGGACTTGCCTTCAGATTAAGATGCATTAAGAGGGCTACTGATAATGAAGCCTATTGCAAGGGAGAGGGATCACCATGGAGTCTTACCGCTGAAGCAGCAAAAGTAGAGGCCTATTCGACTTCTTGCTGCCCTCTAGGAGAATGGCAAGCAGGAAAGGAAAGCAATGCTCTCCATGGACTTTGGGACTTTGCTGAAAATTAAAAGAGGCACAAATGGGGAGGAGGGGCTGGCAAGGTGCAGTGATTAAACAGACTGTGCTCTCAGTTAGGAAATCCTCCGCTGAAATCTCCCCTCCTCCTAGTCCATCTTAAACTCACTAGCCTTGGCCCCATCTGTATTATACATTTAAAGTAGCAACATGCCGTGGCTTCTCCCAAAGAATCCTGGGAACTGTAGTTTGTTAAGGGTGCTGGGAGTTGTTAGGAGACCCCCTATTCCCCCTCGCAGAGTTCCTTGAAAAAAGGAATTGATTGTGAAACCGCACTGCAAATTTATTGTTAAGACCACTTTGTGAGGGGAATAGCTGGGTCTCCTCGCCACTCCCAGCTCCCCATAACAAACTACAGTTCCCAGGATTCTTTGGGGAAAGCCACGGCTGTTTATAAAGCGGTATATTACTGGTTTTAATGTGTGCTGCGGATGAGGCCCTAGACAGGCTAGTTTTCTCCCGACCTCAGCCATCCCAAATGCAACACAGAAACCGCAATACTGGCCTACCATCCAGGGCTGTTTTGTAAGAAGGGGAAACAGGGGGCTGCCCCTTATGTAAGCTCAGTCTATTTGTTCCACTAACTTGGAACAGTCTCTCAGGCAGAAGCTCTCTCACATCACCTGCCACCCGGATCCTCCTTTTAATAGGACTGAGCCAGGTGCTGTCTCTATTTTTAAAATTATTATTATACTTTTCTCCAAGTAGCTCAAGATGGCACATACAACTCTCTCCCCCATTTTATCCTCACAACAATCCTAAGAGGTAGGTTAGGCTGAGCGGCTGTAACTGACCTAAGGCGTGAGCTTCATGGTTGAGTGGGAGATTTGAACCCAGGTCCTCGTCCAACAATCTAGCAATTACACCACAATTGTGCTCTACTACGGAGCTGCAGCCATTTCTCATGTTGGCGGACTCTCTAAAATGCTATTATAAATTACAAAAAAGGCACTTCCTTAGTTCGAAATGAAGCTGCAGCAATACTCAGAGACTCTCCTCGCAAAGAGCTCTTTAAGATGCCTTTAAGAGTGGAAAAAGCTTATTAGCACATAGTACAATGTTCATGTACCAGCGCCACATATTCTCTTACACATGAATGCAAGTTTCTGCTTGAAAGGGGGGGGAAATACTTTCCCTAAAAGTTCTTTACGCAACATATATGTGTGTGTGTGTGTGTGTGTGTACGTACGTACGTACGTACGAACGAACCATCAGGAAAATGCAAGAGAATTGCAGAGAGTGAGTGAGTGAGTAAGAAGCAGGCAGACAAGGGAGGAACCAAATGATTGAGGGTGTGTTTGAGGGAGTGAGAGAAAAAGAGTGCACACATCACTAGCAGGAACAGTTTACAGTGGAATCCTAGCCACGTCAGAAGCAAGCTCCACTAAATTTATAATTTGGGCTATGATTACAGCCTAAAAATAAATATTCCTATCAGCTTCAGTCAGGAGAAAGTCTTTATGTCAACTGAGTATGTGAAAGAGATTGCTCTTTTTAACTGGTGAATTAATGTATATGTGGAATGACAGTTCCAGTAGTCTAACTGAGAGGGACTGTGGTGAAGACACACCCTCTAGGTAATTAACAGGGCAAATGAAAGCAAGTCCACACATTTTATTTTCCCCAGGCACAGAAACATGCCTGCAGTGCAAATCCTATTGCATGTTTTACAGGTTGGCAGAGAATCCACATGAACACCACATGCCATCTCTGGCATGATCTGTGTGCTGGCATTACACACAAAAAAGATATGCCACGAAGTTGTCATTAACTAATCAGATTAAGGTTTGGGTTTTTCCCATTTAATTTCAAAATGGCAGCAGCTGATAGCACACTTCCATCTCCTCACTGAGGATTGCTTGCCTGCCCCTCAAAACCAGCGCTATAAATTCCCCAGGTGCGTTTTGTGACTGGCACAGATCCAACTGCAACCATGTGGAGATTTCTGGTGACTGACATCTCCATCTGGCTGGCCCCTCCAGCTGTCTTAAACAGGTAAGCAGAAGAGCTTATTTACTGCATTTATATCCCAACTTTTCCTCCAACGAGTGTATGGTTCACCCCCCTCCTCAATTAATCTCTACAACGACCCTGTGAAGTAGGCTAAGAGGCTGTGACTGACTCCAAGGTCACCCAATGAGCTTCATGACTGAGTGGGGATTTGAACCCTGATCTCCCAGGTCCTAGTCCAACACTCTAACCACTACACCACACTGGATTCCTGGAGTACTTCTGCTATGGGGCAGCTATATAAATTAAGTAGGTAAATAAATATGAGGAAAGCAAAATGTCACTTAGAGAAGGATCTGAAATGTTTTCCTTGAGGACCTGTAAAAGAGTATGGGGAATTAATTTATAATGAATTGAGGGGAAAGTTTAAAATTACAGTGGTACCTCAGGTTACATACGCTTCAGGTTACATACACTTCAGGTTACAGAATCTGCTAACCCAGAAATAATACCTCGGGTTAAGAACTTTGCTTCAGGATGAGAACAGAAATTCTGCTCCAGCGGCGCGGCAGCAGCGGGAGGCCCCATTAGCTAAAGTGGTCTTCAGGTTAAGAACAGTTTCAGGTTAAGAACAGACCTCCGGAACGAATTAAGTACTTAACCTGAGGTACCACTGTACTTAAAAAAAAAAGAGAGTCATTTTTGTTGGGGATAATTCAGATGGAAATTCCCAGGTGTCATAAAAGCCTATTTAAGTATGCCACTACTGCGGCCGGTGTTTTGTTAGCCCAAAAATGGAAAACGAGCTCATTGCAAAATAAAAAGGGGTGCCTTGACATTCTGTTGTGGCGACCATAACCTTGCTTAAGGTGTCATTTGACAGTCAGCTTGTATATCTGAGTTTTTAACACTGCTCAAAATACATAGAAGTTTGGGCTACCATAAATCTGTTGGAATTTCAGTCCCTTTTGGTTGTTTTAACTGCAACAAGCTAACATGCCTACCCCTCTGGAAGCTTCCTCGCAGAGTTGTTGAGGAACAGGGAGTGTAGAGTCCATAGAAGTCCCAAAGCATATTGTAATAATAATAATAATAATAATAATAATAATAATTTATTTATATCCCGCCCTCCCCAGCCGAAGCCGGGCTCAGGGCGGCTAACAACAATAAAATAGTTCAACATTCTAAAATCATTCATTATAAAATTAATTCAAATCAAATTGATGGCAACCATTGGGCTAGAGTTCTGTGAAGATTGCCAAAGGAGGGAGTCAGGCTGTGCCTTGGCCAAAGGCCTGGTGGAACAGCTGTCTTGCAGGCCCTGCGGAAAGATGTCAAGTCCTGCAGGGCCCTAGTCTCTTGTGACAGAGCGTTCCAATGACAAACCGGGTGCCTATGTGAAGTTCCCATACAGGATCTGAGCACAATAGCACTCTTATTATTCCTAGCAACAGGCACTCAAGAGACA